TCAAAGGTGCCCCAGCTCCCAGATCTGTACCACAGCTTAGGTCTTTGCTTGAGCTGGTGCATTTTTGTAGAATTTTCATACATAGCCTAGCTCCGTCCTGGCACCTTTGCATCAACTCTTAAAAAATAGGTCATCCTTGGAAATAGTCACGGAGCCAAACCATAGCTTTCAGGGAAGTGAAGAAACAGCTGTTTAACGTGTTGACACACTATTATCCCAAGGGAGATCTGTTATTGACATGCAATGCCTCCCTGTACTCCAACAGGATAGTATTAGTATTATCAATATGGGTGGCCCAATGGCGAGGAATGCTCAATGACTTATGCATTGAGGACTTTGGCTAATGAAGAGCATGAATTCACTCAGATAGAGATGAAAGATTTGGTGGTCATGTTTGGAGTCAGGATGTTCCACCAATACCTTTATGGATGTAAATTTATAATAATAAGGACCATAATCCCATGCTGGGTCCACTTAGAGAAGGCAGTGCCACCTATCGCTTCAGACCTAATTCAGTGGTGGGCTCTAATACTAAGTAGCAAATGCAGATGCATTGAACTGTCTGCCACTGGCAGATACACCACTGGTGGTACCTCCAGTGGAATAGTCTGTAACAGTTTTAAATTTTCTGGATACGCTTCTAGTCACAGCAGACAATTTCAGACTTTAGACACAGAAAGATCCGGTCCTGGCAAAACTGAAACAGCTGGTGGTGATGGAAGAGACCAAAGCGCTGTCACAACCAGAACTGAAACCTTTTTGGACCCAGAGAGACGAGATCACAGCAGAGAACAGCATATTATTATGGGGAGCAAGAGAGATTGTCCGAGCAAAGGTCGCCACCAGATACTGGCCGAACTCTATCAGGATCATCCAGGGTTTTCCAAAATGGAGAAGTTAGCAAGAAGTTATGTCTGGCAGCCAGGACTGAATGCAGATATATCTGCTTTGGCGGGGCAGAGCTGAGAGTGCCAACAAGGACAAAAATTATCACCAACAGCTCCCCCCTATTCGTGGGAATGCCCGGGTAAACCTTGGACTCAGTTACACATCAACTATGCAGAACCTTTCATAGACTTAATGTTCTTAGTCATTGTAGCTTCCCACTCAAAGTGGCGAGACGTGCCTAGAGTTCATTCATTAAACACGAGGACGATAATAGAAAATGCACGTATTTTTTACAATACACAGGCTCCCGGAAATGTTAGTCACAGATAACGGGCCATCGTTTACCAGTAGGGAGTTTGAGTCTTTCTTAAAATCAAATGGTATTTTTCATACAGGGACAGATTCATACTATACATTATCCAATGTTCTGGGAGAAACAGCAATCCGAATTTTGAAGCCAGGCTTAAAGAAACAGCCTACCTGGACCATCTCTAACACCTCTCTCCCCTTCCTGGACCTCTCTGTCTCCATATTGGGCAACCACCTCGAAACCGATATTCATTTCAAGCCCACCGACTCCCACAGCTACCTAGAATACTCCTCCTCCCACCCACCTTCCTGCAAAAATGCTATCCCCTATTCCCAATTCCTTCGCCTCCGCCGCATCTGCTCCCAGGATGAAGCATTCCACTCCCGTACATCTCAGTTGTCCTCGTTTTTCAAGGACCGTAACTTCCCCTCCTCGGTGGTCGAGAACGCCCTCAACCGTGTCTCCCACATCTCCCGCACCTCATCCCTCACACCCCGTCCACGCAATAAAAACCAAAAAAGAATCCCCCTCGTCCTCACGTACCACCCCACCAACCTCCGGATCCAACGCATCATCCTCCGACACTTCCGCCATCTGCAATCCGACCCCACCACCAAAGACATCTTTCCCTCCCCACCTTTATCTGCTTTCCGGAGGGACAACTCTCTCCGTGACTCCCTTGTCCGCTCCACACTCCCCTCCAGCTCCACCACACCCGGCACTTTTCCCTGCAACCGCAGGAAGTGCTACACCTGCCCCCATACCTCCTCCCTCACCCCCATCCCAGGCCCCAAGAAGACTTTCCACATCAAGCAGATGTTCACCTGCACATCTGCCAATGTGGTATACTGCATCCGCTGTACCCGGTGTGGCTTCCTCTACATCGGGGAAACCAAGCGGAGACTCGGGGACCGCTTTGCAGAACACCTACGCTCGGTTCGCAACAAACAACTGCACCTCCCAGTCGCGAACCATTTCAACTCCCCCTCCCATTCCTCAGGCGACATGTCCATCCTGGGCCTCCTGCAGTGCCACAACGATGCCACCCGAAGGTTGCAGGAACAGCAACTCATATTCCGCTTGGGAACCCTGCAGTCCAATGGTATCAATGTGGATTTCACAAGTTTCAAAATCTCCCCTCCCCCCACCGCATCCCAAAACCAGTCCAACTCGTCCCTGCCTCCCTAACCTGTTCTTCCTCCCACCTATCCCCTCCTCCCACCTCAAGCCGCACCTCCATCTCCTACCGACCAACCTCATCCCGCCCCCTTGACCTGTCCGTCCTCCCTGGACTGACCTATCCCCTTCCTAACTCCCTACCTACACTCACCTTTCCTGGCTCCATCCCCGCCTCTTCGACCTGTTTGTTTCCTCTCCACCTATCCTCTCCTCTATCCCTCTTCTATCCGCCTCCCACTCTCTCCCTATTTATTTCAAAACCCCCTTCCCCTCCCCCTTTTCTGATGAAGGGTCTAGGCCCGAAACGTCAGCCTCTCTGCTCCTATGATGCTGCTTGGCCTGCTGTGTTCATCCAGCCCTGCACCTTGTTGTCTCTTTAAAGAAACAGCCGACAGCTTCACTAGATACCAAACTTCCAGGTTTCTAGTTGATTATAGGACCACCCCTCATGCAACTACAGGAATTTCTCCAGCAGAGTTTTTAATGGGGAGAAGACTCCACACCAGGTTAAGTCTGATCTTCCCAGAACTGAAGGGGGAAGAGTGAAACAGCAAAAGGAATGCTAATGCTGGACACAAGACTCTGCTCAGCAGGAGAAGATAGTTTACTTCATGGGAGTAATTTTGGTTTAGGAACTATGGGAATGATCCTGCATGGGCAAGAGACATGGTCGATGCGAGCACAGGTCCTTTTCCGTATAAAGTTCAGGTAGGTGCAATGATCCCAAAAAAGCACATGGACAATACGTAAGTAGCAAACTCGCAAACGGTGCAGGAGCACAACATGCCTTGCTCCTCGACTGCCTTTTTGACTGTTCCAGAACTCGTCTGTTCTCTATCTCCATCAAGCATTGAAGATACCTCTTGGAATCAAATACATACATGGCAGATGTCACCTCCTTGATGCCTTTGTCACCTGAGGAGGAGAATGGATTTATTCTGAGATGCTTTGAATGCAAGAGACAGACTACTTTGCGTTACATGCTGCCTGTATCAGTGGCTGAGTTGGAGGAACTTGTCCCAGTGCTAAAATGCCCCAGGAGGAGCTACAAAAAAGAGAACTGACCTATATCCTTGAACTCAAAGGGGAGGGATGTAGTGATTGTAATGAGGTCAGCCAAGTGGACCTCATAGAATATGAGTCCTCGATTGGGGCTGTTAATCTGGTCCAATCAGGGTGCCCTGGCTGACAGATATAACTAGGAGTGTCAGAGGTTCTGTTTATTTTGAGAGCTGGTTCTGAAGAAGCTGGATTGTTGTTAAGGATTTTGCACGTGTCAATACAGGGTGACTTGATGATAGGATACCAGCCTCTGTGGCGTTGTTTTGGTCATTCTGCCATCATATTTACATAATAGCTATCAAGACATACTCATTTATTTCTACTTATGCCATCAGCTTATCAACCTTGTTAGAAATGTTATGTGCATTTTGATAAAGATCCTTAAGCTTAACTTGTTAATATTATTACTTACTCTTACTCTAGTCTCTGTTGCACACTTCTCTGTATATTTTCTCCTCTTTCCTGGCACAATTTGATTATTGTTATCTTCATGAAGTACAGTAATGCTGTCTTGTTTCTTTTATATTTTACAATTGAACCCTCCCCCACAGTAATTAGATTACAGTCCTATCTGCACCCCTAGTTATACACACCTGTCTCATTTATCTATATTGGATATATCTCTTAAGCAGTTTAGCTTGCTTTCTTAGCTCTCACTCACTTTGCACTTACTTGGATGCATCTCTGCCCTGCTTTGGCAATATTCCTTCATTCAGAACTTATGGGTGTACAGCATCTCTGCCTTGCCTCCTTAGAACAGACAGAAAGCCAGGCAGCTTAACATACTCACCAGTGCTGAACAATCAGTTTGGGGAGGAGGGGTTTGGACATATATTTCAGACTGCTATGGAGCCACACAAGGATTTTTGTTTGAACGTGGCCTGTTTGTTGCACTGCTGATTGCTTGGGATAAATTACAAAGATTGTATACTCACGTCTTTGAGGTCAGTAGAGTTTGCCAAGTGCAGTCGGTTCTGCTATAACACGAACTGGCTTTAATGCAATTGAAGAATTTAGACCGCAGTTAGTAGAACGTGAACTTTCCTTACCTGTATTGGCTATAATGCGATTCTGGCCCAATTAGTTTAAATAGTGCGGCAATTGCACGATTTTCTTATAACGTGAGATCGCATCAGAATGAAACTACCACGTTATATCAGAACTGACTGTGATCAGTTTTTCACCATCAACTCTTCTTTCAGTTAGTTATATTTAATACAGCCCCAACCCGTTCTCTTGATTGGAATCCTTGAATTCTCTCTGAAGTCCAAATTCCTGCTCTAGAATACTTATGAATAGAAAATAACATCTTGAAATTGTATTTCATGAGAGTTAGTTATCTCAAAGGCTGAAGATAATCACTAAAAATGCAATGCACAGAAATTAAACAACATTTTATGTGAGATAAAATCATTTATGTAGACGTCTGATGTTGTCTGATAATATATTTAAAGTATTGAAGCTGTTCCATATTTAAGTGCCCTAAGCAACAAAACTAAAGAAAGTCAACAATACCTTTTGTTCATAAAAATGTATATTTAACTATTTATTTCTATTCCAGATAGGAGCCTGTGCCTACATCAATTCTTTAATTTTGAAAAGCTGTTGGTTAATCCAAACATTTGGTCTTGTTTGTACAGTTAAGGGCTATGACCAGCGTAAGTAATATATTTAGCTTTTTGTTGTACAAAAATATTTACACCAAGGAAATACATTCTCTAAAACGTTTGAGGTGGCAAATCAGCACCGCAAATTAAGATAATTTTTTAAGCGGAAGTATGGCTTATCATTTATGTTAATGAGATTCAACCACTCACCCAGCACAAAAATAATGAAATAGGAATCCTTTATTTTAGTGCCATTAAAGCTTTATACACTTCAATGGAAAAGCTTAACTTAGAGAAACTATTTGTATTGGACATTCATTGGACAGCCAGCATTCTGTCAAGAGCTTAAATTCTGATCTCTAATCAGCCCAGTAGCAGTGTACAGTTGATGGAGCTCCTATTAGTAATTTCTATTGATCATATGAACCAGATTTGTCTCCTAGACACAAAGAGAATCATCTTCTCCTTGTGGCATCTGGGATCTTGCAATCCACCTAGGTTCCCAGCAGCAATATGCCTGCCCCAGTTTCTCTTCCTGGTTCTCTAAGCAAAGTCAAAGCCTTCAGTTGGGAGTATACGTGGCTATGGCTGTGTCTCTTCCACACTGTAATTCACATGTCTTGGGATTCTGCTTCTTGCTATTGCATTCCCTCCTATCCTTGTGGCTTCCATCTTCTTCAACCTGTATTCCAAGCTTCAGGCTCTACCTTAAGTCTGCCAAGGGCATCGCTTTGTGTCCCAAATGGGGCTGATATGGACAGCTAAATCCCCTGCATAATGGCTTCCTGGGCCAAGGATCTATATTGGTAAAGACCTTGTGCTCTGCAGTGAATACTGGGCCCAGCAGCTGGATATGTGGTGAAATCAGAACTTAGGACCCACTCACACATCCCAAAATGAAATTTAGAATTGCACTCTGTGCAAAATGCAAAAGGGTTTCACAATCTTTATATCTGCATGTGGAATTATGTAAATTAACCTCTAAAATTAATCAAATTGACACCGTGTATAGTAAAGGGTTATCAAGTGGATCATTATTAATTTTGTGCATCCACAGATCATTGATACACTGCTAATAAATTAACCCTAATGCATTGCTAAATCTAATACCCTGAATCTTAATTGCGGATGAAAAATTTTCTAAGTTCTTTTACAACCTATAAAATTTCCTAGAACCCTGCACAATTTCTGATAACATATTTTACGTACTCTACTCATTAGCCTCAATGATATTTGTTTTAAATTTCCAATTTACTTTTGTTGTTGCTAGGTTGAAATTGAAGCTAAATTTGGCACCGTGGACTGTGCTTATCACTATACAATGAGATCTGTTGTACATTCATGCCAGGTCAATAAAAAGGGAAGGTTTTAACGTTGCTTAAATATGCAAAATGGCCACATGTGCCTGAATGTTAACATTTCACTAAATATAATGATGTACTTATAAAACTTAAAAAATGTGTAAAGTTTAGCATAAGAAATAGAAAATTGATTATTTCTACAATACATTTTGATTTATAACCATGTTGAAATAATATCCTCTTTTCTAGCCCCTGCTGAGAACCTTAAGAAATGTCCATTGCCTAAGGATGAAGCAGGCATTATATGGGACAGTATATGCTTTTCTTTTCTGTTGCTACAAAGGAGAGTTTTCATGAGTTATTACTTCTTGCATGTAGTAGCAGACATAAAATCTGCTCAAATTCTCGCATCAAGGTGAGTTAAAAAGGAATAAATATTCATGTAACTGTATAAAATCCATGAGACATGAACCATTTATAGAATTAGCATTTAGTTAATACTATCATTGAAATGGCCATATTACAAATCATTTCTGCTTACATTTCAACTAAATGTTCAGCTATCTTCCAAAAATAATACTTACTGCCATTCATTATTAAGTTAATGCTCAATTTTTTTCCATCTGTTAAGTTCTTTTCTTTTAATTACTCGAATATTAGTTTGTTTATCATCTTTTTTAAATATGGTTTGCTATGGTGCTTATTTTATGTCTTATTTTAGAGGTGCAGAGCTGTTTCAAGCTACAATAGTAAAAGCTGTGAAGGCTAGGCTCGAAGAGGAAAAGAAGTCAATGGATCAGCTCAAAAGACAGTAGGACCATATTTTAATTAATTATTTTTATGAATACTCCTTTCCATGTCACAATTCTGAACTTACTTGAATATGGCAAGATTAAGAACCATTGATTTGTGTATTTGTTGATTGGTTGTATGTGTGTATTTTTTCTTTATTTTAAATAGGATGGATCGCATCAAAACAAGACAACAGAAATATAAAAAAGGCAAAGAGAGAATGCTCAGTTTGAATCAGTCAGCAGATGCGCAGGGTCCTCAGTTGAAGCCGGAAGATGATGATGATGATGACGATGAAGGTAATTCAACATTGGCAATGGGAAGCAATAAGACAAAAAAAATTTACATGCTTATTAATTCCATTACTGACCAATGTTATTTGTGTTATACCACAGGTCATGATTGTCATGGATATGCAGTATGGTCATCCCCTTAATATTTCAGAAATAAGTTATAGAATTTAGACCCACAAATGCACAGTGAATGAACAATTATGCGTAGAAAAATTGAATTTAAATCTACACTAATTTGAGTATAAGTTCCTGATGCAGCATTCTAATGTACTCCCATTTAAGACAACCAACCAGTGAAGCACACTGGCTGGTCACCTGTATCCACATGAAGATGCAGCCACAATAGGCTAGGTTACTTCCATTTGGCCAGCCAACTGCACCAGGATGTCTGTTTGTCACACTGCAGTTCACTGGGTATGCACTGTTTGATCTGGTAGTTCTAACTGTCCCAACCACTATTAAAGTAAAGCATATGTGGAGTGGCAGAGGGTTGGATCATGGAAGTCAGAGGTAGGTGGCAATGAATCAGATTATTATAGTGGGGTTTTGGAAGAACATTACTGCCAATTGAACTGATAGAAGCATAACAATGTACACTCTGATTACTTAAAAACTAAAGTAGAACCACTTTTTTTCTGGTACAAAAATAACACGGGAAATGAGGGCCAACTGTGGCTAATGGGGAAAATTAGGGTTAGGAAGAAATAAATTGGTCAAAAACAGTAGCAGACCTGAGGATTGGTAACAGTTTAAATTTCATCAAAGGAGGACAAAGGGGGAAAATATGGAATGAAAGTAAACTTATGGGGAACATACAAACTGATTGTAAAAGCTTCTTTAGATATGTGAAGAGAAGAACTCAACTTGCTAATTCAGAGATAGTAAGAACTGCCGATGCTGGAGTTAAAGATAACACAGTGTGGAGCCGGAGGAACACAGCAGACCAGGCAGTATCAGAGGAGTAGGTTAGTTGACGTTTCGAGTTGGGACTTTACTTCAGAAATGGGGGAGGGGAAGGGAGCTCCGAAATAAATAGAGAGAGGAGGGGTGAGGCTGGGGAAGGTAGGTGGGATGATGATAGGTGAGTGCAGGTAGGCAGTGGTGAGGATTGGTCAGTGAGGTAGGAGGAGCAGTTAGGTGGGAGAGAAGATGGACAGGTTGTGTCAGATCAAGGAGGGGATGAGAAGGAAGATTGGTCATGGGATGAGGCCAGGGGTGGGGAAATCTTGAAACTGGTTAAGTCACATTGAGACCATTGAGTTGTGGGCTCCCAAGGCAAAGTATGAGGTGCTGCTCCTCCAGTTTCTGGATGACATCATTGTGACACTGGAGGAGGTCTAGGATAGACATATCGCCCAGGCAGTGGGAGAGGGTGTTGAAGTGGTTCGCGATCGGAAGTTGTTATCGTTTATTGTGAACAGAGCGCAGGTGCTGTACAAGGCGATTTGTAAATTGTACTGCTGACTGATCCTCGATGACCTCTTTCAATCATTCCTGGGGCTTGGGTTTTTAAAAAGTCTGAACTGAAAACTTAAGGAAGTGAGAACATTCATTCTACACTATGAGTACATTGAATCCTCCAACTTAAAATGGACTTCCTATCAGAAGAGAAATATTGTTAGTTGTCTGTGTTGAGTCTTCCCATTTATAGCCAATGTGGAAATATTAGAAGTTGACATTGGCCATCCCAAATAGAAAGTTCATTTCCAAGCATTAATATCATAGGCTTAGTAGCCACAAATTGACAAAGAAACAAATTACATTTGCAGTAAATTTCACAATTTAGTTCTACAATTATTAAAATAAGTAATTTTCATAATATTCTTTCCAGGTTGAATTTTATTTTCAACACAGCACATAGTCTCTGATCTGGTGAAGCAAGCAGTCTATCTTACTATTAAGGAACCAGATTTTTGCCCTAGTAATTTCAAATAATTATTTACACTATTGTGTTCACAGCAATTTTTTTTACCTAATAGTAGACAACAAGGAGTGTTTCACTAAATTCAGTCAAAGATAATGTTCAAAAGGAATTATTTTTTAAGCCAAAAGGTAATTGTAGGCTAAAGTAGCTGAGGAAAGTGAAAATCTCTAATTCAAACAAATACCACTGAGACGTAAAACTAAAAGGAGTAAAGCTGGTACTGCTGTATGATCTGAAGAAACAATGTTCCTCACTTGATGCGCAATGATTTTATGTAAAATTCTGGCAGGGGTGTATTAATAAATGATTCGGTAGATATTGTAATAAATAGTTTCAACCAATTAATAGTAATTTTATAGTGAGAATAATTCATAACCCTACCTTATCAGTATTATTGTAACGTACAAAATTGTGACCAACATCAACACACCTTACAATCATGAGCCTTGTGTAAGAATGTCAGTTTCCCAATGTAGAATTATTGGAACTTCTTTTGTTTTATTGATACATCATTCACCATAATGAAATGTCATTTAAATTTCATCTATGCTCGATGCATTACTTTTTTTTATTATTTTACCTGACTTTTGATGGCATTTCTTTATACCAAAATGGGTATCATACCTTAGGATTTTTTTTCTATTTTGAGTCTTAATTACATTTTAGCCTGAGGAACAGATCATTTCTTTGCATTCAAGGCATTTCTCATATGGTAGAAAAAAGGTTGGCTGGAGATTCCATTGGACAATCATTATAACCTTTGCAGTGGAGAGTAAATTTGGTTGGGACATAAACAATGTTGCACCAGATTCTGTCAGATTTCCAATAGGCAAGATAGGTTAAAATGACCTCCCTGAATCAATACCCTTTGCTGAAAATATGTCTTGATACCAGAAGAGAATAAGATTTGATCTCATTTTTGTAACTCTAATAATGATTAGCCTGCTGACGCTCTCACTAAGGATTTCACATGAATAGCTAATTTGATGAAGGAGACCGTAACCATCTTTGAAATCCTGGACAACATTAGAACTCACTCAAAACCGATGCAGTTAAAAGTTAAAATCAAGTCCCATAAGTATTAAATAAATGAAATAATTATTTTCCCAGCCAGTGAAGCCCACATTCCATGAATGATTAAAACAAGAAACCCAACATGAGAACTGGGAAAAGAGAAAAATATCAGCAAACAACTGGATTGCAATTCTCATTTTATGAATTATACATACAAACAGCAAGTTTTATTGTCATTAAATAGTGTGCATCCGGTTTAAAACTTTTCTTTAGTTTAGAACTACTTTTGATTGCTTGTTTTCAATTTTCATTAATTTGTTCTTGTCAGTATGCGCTATAATAGTAGCTAAAGCCTAGGGAATACTGGTAGTACTACTGGTGGGCGAATATTTAACGAATTTGTAAGGCATTCCTCCACCCGCTAATTTACTACAGTATTAAACTGTTTATTTTAAACGTGTAATGTTTCTGTTAAAATATGATGTAGGAAATGTCATACGAATTGCCAACAATAATTGCTAGGCCAGTATTAGCACAGCTAATATTTTAATAAGGTGCTTAGATTCACATTTGTCTGGAGGTAAAATTAGTTGAATTAATGTCAAATTAGTCAATTAACACTGGTGAATTTAGTATTATCTTTTTCTTTCAGTAAATGAAAATAAACAAACTTTTATTAAAAGGTTTTAAAAAAATAGGATTGACAAAATAGGCAATTTTGGCACATGATCTGGAGTGCAGCCAAATAATGAAATACACATGTGTTATCATAGAAAATGTAACCTATTTTCTGGAATAAAACAAAGGACTGCAGATGTTGGAGATCTGAAATGAAAGCAGAAATTGCTGGCGAAACTCAGCATGTCTGGCAGCATCTGTGGAAAGCAAAGTTAACTTTTCAAGTTTGATAACTCTTTGTCACATGTACTGCCAGAACTGCTGAGACTTGCCTATTTACTGGAGGACTTCTATCACATTTGAAATATGCAAAAATGTAATATGTGTTGCTTATTTACAGTTTAAAATTGTTGTAGCAGAGAGCCCATGGTTCTAGCTATGATCCTATCTCTGACAGAAAATATAAATTTTGCAAGTCAAATCAGATGATGAGTGTATCAGAAAGATCACTTAAAATGTGCATGAGCTTTATTATTTTATGACACAGTAAAACATGGGTACGTCCTTTTGTTAGCAGATTATACAATTCACCAAACTGTGTAGCATAGAAGTTGGTAATTCAGCTGATAGTGCAACTACCAGTAGAGATGAAGAAGCTGGTCCCTACCGTTGTACTTTCTGTCTCTGTGACTTAGTTCAATGCAGTCGGTTCTGCTATAACATGATATTTGTGTTCCTGCGCAACATCATGTTATAGAAAGTCACACTATAGAAATAATGGACCTTTGGGAAAAGTGGAGTTACGGCAGACCACCAAAAAACATCACTCAAGATCACTCAAAAATCACTCGAAAGCCTAACACAAAGGATAGCACAATTTGAATAAATGTTTAATTCATATCTAATAATGAAATAAAAGTAAATTTAACACTTTACTTTGAAAACATGTCAAGATGACTTGATGACGGGAGAAGGTAGTACCGTACCTCTCCCTTCACAACAAAGCCTTGAAATGATCACATGACACTCGTGCGGAGACTGTTTCAGCGCTAACATTGTACATATTCACGACAAAAGCCTGTGAAATGATCATGTGATGTCGATGCATACTCCTCCATGCACCAATGAAATCATGTTATAGCCAACACAAGTTCGCATTTTAGAAAGCATTCCCCTATATGCCAATCGCATTACAGCCAATTTGCGTTGATGGAACACACGTTATAGCAGGACTGACTATACTTTAATTGAAAAGGAAGAGTTGCATTTGGGTGGGGCACTAGTTCCTTTACCTCAGTTCAATTGTTATGGACAGAAGAATTAAATCATTATTCCTCGGCACCTCTTAGCTGCAAAATCGTTGGGTATTTTTGTGGGGCTACCACTGTGTATTCTTCTTTGGAGATTCAGGGCTAAGTGAGATGCTTTCTCAGTTGATTTTGGCTGAAGAATGACAATGGTAAATTGTTGCTTTGAGACTGTTTCTATCCATTCAGCAAGCTATGGCCTCAGTGGCAACCTGTATGTCATCTGAAAAATTTTAGATATAATGTGTGTGGTGTGTGACAAACTGTCTCAGTTGATAGCTTCATTGGTTACCTGTACACTGGCTAGTTGTTGAAGGAACCTCTAGATTTGCCTCTGCATTTCAGCCTATAAATTATCTTTCTGAAAATTTTTCAGTAGCTTATTGGTTTGGAAATTTTAAGTATTGTGCTGAGGTTTTTTTGTTTTGCATGTCAGATACATATACCCAAATAAAAAATCATGAGGTGATCTCTTCAACAGCAATTTTCAGAATAAGGAATGGTGTTGAGGGGTTGGTGGGAAATCTTGTTCAGCATAGGAAAATAATCTACATGTTAAAGAGACAATTCGTAAGAGAAAATGTAATGATTAAAATAAGGAACCTATGTATTAGTGAAGTATTGTTTATTTCTTGCATAAAATTCTCATTAACATATTATTCCATTTGTAATCCTCATAGGTTAAAACTCCACTAACTTGCCCACCTGATTATTTTGTTTTTGTTTTACATAATTAATATTTGGACCTATTTTATTTTAGGAGAACCAGAGAAAGACAAAGCCAAGGGCAAAAAAAAGCAGTGGTGGCGGCCCTGGGTTGACCATGCTTCTAGTAGGTTTGCCTCAATCATCTGTTAGTTATGTGTGCTAATCATGTACCAATTTCCTTGAATAGACAATTGTTTTGTTTTGTTTTTTAAATAAAAGTTAACAAATAATAAGTATTTTCTTTCAAAAAGTTGCCTATCCTGGTTTGATTTAAAGCATGAATTTATTTTAGCCTACTGTTGTTATTTTGATGGGCTTTATGCTCAGTTTCAAACAAGGATAGCTGTGTGCTGATTTGTTATGCACGTGGGTCATTCTGCATTAACTCACGACAACTATAGGGATCCATGTTGAATGCAGAATTAACTGTGAAGCTACAGTACATTAAATATTATCATCTAACCATTTTGCATTGCACTGTAGTTCAAGTAACTTAAAACCATCAACACCTGTTGATTTGGAGTTATTATTGACTGCCAAATTTTGATTTATCCAGTAGTTGGAATCAAACAATTTGAATAATATAGTAGAATAAGGATTTTTTGCATGACTTCAATTCAAATTAGCTATGCATTTGTGCCATGCTACTTCAATTTAAGACAAATAAACTACACGTGTAAATGATTAGATGAAAGCAATATATGAGCTACCTTTGTGCCATCTGAACACACCATGGAAAATGAAAATCAATGGCTGATTACTGAAAAACGTAGTTTTTAGTTGAATTAATGTTGTTTTCTGATCTGTAAAACCGTCTCCGTTAATCAGTATTATTTTCAATACGTTAATATACCCAGGAAATACAACATTCTGCTAGGCCGCAAGAAATCGTTACTTGCAGCTGTTTGTCCCAGTCAAACAGCCTGTTGCTCCATTATTTATATTTTTGGGTTGGTCTTTACCTTTATGACTCTGTTTTAAAATGAGGCATGAAAGTAATGAAGTCATGATCTATTCAAGGAAATTAGGTATCTGTTAAATGTGTGACACCAAACCAATTGGTTATTTCGGAGGCTAAGGTCAGTTCCGGGATGCTGTGAATTTTCATTAAAAGTGTGTGGATCCCTTAGGAAGTTTTTGTGACAGCTTCATTTTCATATAAAATTGTCATTAATTTTGACATCTGCTTATTTTTTTCCATCTATTTATTGTTTTAGTTAAATTGATTCTATTTAAAAACTGATAAAACTGCTGATGCTGTAAATCAGAAACAAAAATGGAAATTGCTGGAAAAGCTCAGCAGGTCTGGCAGCATTTGTGGAGAGAAAGCAGAGTTAATGTTTTGGGTCAGAACTGAGGAAGGATCACTTGACCCAATACATTAACTCAATTTCTCTCCACAGATGCTGCCAGACCTGCTGAGCTTATTCAGCAGTTTCTCTATTTTTGTTTCTGATTCAATTTTGGGAAAGTTACTGAACTCTTCATGAAGGGAATAAATTATAGTCATTATGGTTAAAAGTTTTGATAAAACCACAAAACCTTCTTTATGAATGGGTTAATAATGGGCCAAACCTTTGTCCCCTAATTGTCAGAGATTGGAAGTATGACTGAAGATGCACATTGGGACCATTCAGAAGTCCTAACATATGGACCTGGATGGGAATTGCCTAGATAATTTAAATTTCAAACCGTCCATTTCCTTCCATCAGGATTCGTTGTGAATATCTCTAACCCTGATCTAGAATTGGAGGGACTTGGGAAAGATCCACAGTATTTAACAGAATTTTGACTCAGGAAATGTAGATTAAAACCTACTCAAACACCTGGGTAACTCAACAACAAACACCATCCTCCCCCCACCAATCACCAGCTCCTCCCCAAAATACCCAACCAGCCCCTCCCCCAATCCAGCACAACAGCACTCTTCACTACACCTTGACCCACCTGACCAACTTCGTCTAACCACCTGACCACCCCCTGACTTGATTACCTCTTCAACAAGACCCAGCTGCTCCCCACCACACCTGACTACACTGATCTACCTGACTTTCTGACAACACGTAATTTCCTTCGATCCAACATGAGTAACCAAACACAGTAACCTACCTACTCACATTATCCATAAATCATTTACTTAACCTACCTACTCACCCATCCACTTCCGCGCTACCAACTCATCAACCTACCAAATCACTCACCAATCCTCTCACTCACCTACCCAGCTATCCATTCACTTGTTCACCCATTTCAATTCATCCAGTAACCCATTCATTTGTCCACTCAGTCACATTAAAAGACTGGACATTTAAACTTACCATACTACAGTTAATATCAATTAAAAAAGACATGTCCTTTCTTTTCCTCGCTTTATTACTCTCCAACAGAGATCCCTGTTGGACACCTCCCTCAGCATCTCATTGACATCTGGGAACAGACAATCCCAAATGAAATCTGTAGCAATATCATGTTGGAGAACCTTCAAGTACAGTGGCAATCTGTTCCTTATTGCTGCTACTCAGTAGAACCTTGTATACAAGAGAGTAAATCTCTTATTTCAGTTTGTCTTCAATTCCTTCATTTTACCAACACAATATCTTTCCAATTAAGCATGCTACTATTTAGAGAACACTGAAAACAAAGTTATAAACATAAATAGATAGAAAAGACTAATGAAGTTAATGACAATTTGTTTTAATTATTAAATTTTATTTTCTTTATAAACCATAGAAACTTGAAAACGATATGTGTAATGTAGTTCACTTGTAATTAATGCATACCTTTGACAATAAATTGATAATGAATGAAAAAGAGTGCCGTGTTCATATTGACTCCTTTTTATCATTTGGTATGTAATCCAAGTTTGCTTTGTTTATATGGTTACAGCCAGTCAAATGTAAATCTGAAAATTTAAAATTTATAAAAGAAGATTATTATATATCATTTTGCATTGTCTTTTGGACACATTTGAATTTCATTGAAATACATATTTCTGCATTAAGTATTTAAAACTGAAATGCAGAAATATAAATTTAACTATGTTTCCAGCAATTAATACGTACAATTTTAGACAAAACTTCAACTGAGGCTCTGATTCAGTTTCTTACTTTTTTATTCACAATACTTGCACAGAAATATTGCCAGTCTTTGCAATATTTATTCTCTGTTTCTCTGCCTTTCTTCATATTTTTCAACAATAGCCATCCTTTTTGATGTTCTACATTCTGCTACTAAATCCTCCTTACACTTTGTGAGCCTGGCTACCTCCTCTTCTTGATTTTCTTGTGCATTCCCTTTAGTTGGATGTTGACATTCAGGTATCCATTTGGGTAGCTTAGTGCTGTACATTCTTTACACTCTGCTCTCTACTACATTATTGACGTGGTTTGTTCTATAATTTATCATTTGTTTTAATAATGCCAGTCAGTTAAAATAGAATCAAGAGATTTTAAGCAACACTTAAAAATAACTAACCATAAAATTGAATTATTTCACCTTTCATTGCACTAGTAATGTTATCTCCTCCTGCTTAGTGGTACGAAGTGGAGATTACTATCTCTTTGAGACAGACAGTGAGGAGGAAAATGAAGAAGAAGTAAAAGAAGATGAAGAAGAACAACCCAAAAAGTCAGGTTTTCAGGTAATAGTCTGGAATCCTGTTATATTTTATCAAATAGTAACATTTGTAGAACTAAATTTGAAAAACATTCAACATCCTATGTTAATAATAGACTCCATACAGTAAATAAGATCTAAAACATTCTCACAGTTCACGGAAATAAAAGCTGCCAATACAAAGGTTAATTCAGCATTTAAAACTTAGATTAATGCTTGGAATCCAATACCTTGACTTTTTGACTGGAAGTGTGAAAAGCATCACTCCTAAATATTGACATTTCTTGTCTTTCAAATGTTGACTGATCGGTGGTTTATTTCCAAGAATTGTGAGAGACTTTTATAATTATACCTTTTTTTCATTTTTATGCTTGTACATGGTATGTCAATGTGACTGGCAAGGACAGTATTTATTCTACATTCCTAATTGTTCATGAGAAGCGTAATCAGGAGAACATCAGTTTTCTTGAACTGCTGCAAATCATGTAGTAAACCTATCATGCTGTTAGTGATGGAGTTCCCAGATTTTAACTCAAATGGGATTGGAAGGTGGTACCGAAATTCCTGCAGTCCACTTTGTGGATGATATGCACTGATGTCGCTATGTGTTGGTTGTGGAGGGAGTTAAAGTTTATGGCGGTGGAGTGCTGACCAAGCAAACTTAGCTTGTTAGAGCAGTACTGATCGAAACAAATGGAAAGTATTCGCATCATTCTTCTGATTTATCCCCTGTAGACGATAGATAAACTTTGGGAAGTTACGAGGTGAGTTACACTGCCAAGAATTCCAAGATCCTAAGCTGCTGCTGTATCTACTGCATTTATATGGCTGGTCCAGAGGACATCTCCTGTCAGTTTTAACTGTTCAAGATTTTTATGGCAAGGATTCAGCAAAGGCAGTGCCATTGGATGTTACAGGGAGATGGTTAGATTCTCTTTTGTTTGAGTTTATTAATCCAAACCTGAATGTTGACCAGGTGTTGCTGCATGCAGCCACAAACTACTACACTACCTGAGGAGTTGTGAGTGATAATGAATATTGTACAATCATCAATGATGATCTCCACTTCTGAGCTTATTGAGGAGGGAAGGTCAATCCTTAATTCATTAAAGATGGTTATTCCTAGGGCACCACCCTAAGGAATTCCTGCAGCAATCTGTTAAGGCTGTGATTATTGGCCTTCCAACAACAACAACAACAACAATTTTCCTTTGTGCCAGCTATGATTTCAAACAATGGAGAACTTTTCCCGTGATTCTGGTGACTTTAGTTTTGTTGAGAATTATTATGCCACAATTAGAAATGCTGCCTTGATATCAAGAACAGTCATTCTCACCTCACCTCTTAAATTCAATTCTTTTGTGGATGTTTGGATCAAAGTCATATTGTATTGAGGACTGGGTTTGACTGCTCCTGGGACATTGACTTTTAGATAAACTGCATAAGTGCTGCTTGTTAGCATTGTCGACGACATCTTCCAGGAAATTGCTGAAACTTGAGAATAAACTAATGCCATAGTAATAGCTGGATTTGATTTGTTTTACATTTTAAAGACAAGATACACCTGAACAATTTTCCATATTGTCAGACAGATAGACTGATCTTTATAGCTATACTAGAATTCTTTGGCTAGGGACTCTGGTTTTGGAGCACAAGTCTTCAGTGTCACAGTGGGATGTAGTTGGGACTTATGCTGTCACATCCATTGTGTACAGCCAATTTCCTACTTACTTACAATTTTAAATGAATTAAATTGACTGAAGATGGGCACCTGTGATGCTCGGGATCTCATGAGCAGACATAAATGGTTCATTATGTCAATATCTGTAGCTGTAGATGGGACTTTTACCTATGACTTCTTTTTATATTAGCCATATTTGTCCAGAGTTTGGGAAAATTTGATAACAGATCTTAATTGAAAAGAGAAATGCTTTATACATGATTTACACATTCATCTTATATATGATCAAACCATATTACTGAAAATTAGCTGTCAAATGTAGGATAGTTAATTATCAACTACTTTTAAATTTCCATGCATTTAACTGAAAGTATATGTGGTGCTTGTACAAAGAGCTGTTAGAAGGTCTGTAATAATGTACAAGTGCTTTTTTGTTCTTTTCTCTCCTTGAATTAGAAATGTCATTTGCTCATGATAACTGTTTGCCTTTTACTGCACCCAATTTCGCAGATTGACTGAGATGTAAGAATGTCTTCTTCCCACATCGAAACATGAAAAATAAAGTTTCAACTCAAACTCTATTTTCATGATCATAGTATATGAAGAAGAACTGTAATAACTGCTTACATCACATTTGTGGCAATGCTTTTGAATTGGCTTGAACAACTGAAATAATTTTGCATAAATTGCGCAGAGATGCTTCAGATATAAAGCAGGATTTTATCAAGAATCTGCAAATGCATTGAGTTATATTGCTATATATTTTTACTTATTGATTTTATTCTTGATGCTTTGTAATGCATAAATATTGTAAAATTCTGGTAACTTTTTTATTTCTATTTGCCAATGTTTAATGTTAAGTGAATGAAATTTTAATCATTGAGATCTCTGTGGAGTTGATGAATTAAATGACTTGTGTGAACTTTTTCTATAATGTAGAAACTGATTATTGCAGATGATCTGAGGCTGGAGTTTTTGTCTGAGGTTAATCATCAAATTATTGTCCTTATCATATATTCTCAAAATTTGGCTCCTGTTCATTTTTTAATTAATGTTCTGCATTCACGGATGTTATTGCTGCTAAAATATTTGTGAAACAGCAAAACAGAAAAAAATACAGCATATTTAAGACTATTTGTAAAAAGAAAAACATTTTATTTAAATAGAATTTAAAGTTAAATTAAACTACTAGAGTACAACAACAATCTTAGAAACCACATCACTATTAAAATATTAGTGTCCAAAACTGAGATAATCTATTTTGTGACCACTGCTTAGTGCATCTGCCTACCCCCTGCTCAGCACTTCACGTATAAATATGACACAGCACAAGCTATTCACCAGTCCTCCACCCAAATATCCCCTCATATTCTTTCCTCTAATTTCTGTACTGCCATCAGTATAGTTAAACACTTCATCCTTGTCCAACATTTCTATTAAAGTCCATCCTTCAATGCTACTGTCACCTCATAGTTATGCATCAACAAATTTTGGCCCATTCACCTAATCTATTCATATCCACTTGCAAACTTTTTGGTCCTTTATTGCAATGTATTTTCACACCTATTTTAGAGTCATCTGCAAATTTGGTTATTGTACTTTCCATCCCAGAATTCAAATCATCATTATAGATTGAATATAGTTGAGGACAGAGGACCAAACTGTGTGTCACCCTACTAGTTACATTTTGCCAACCAGAAAAAGAGCCATTCATCCTGACCCTCTGCTTGCTGTTGGTTGGCCAATCTGCTATCCAAGCTTAATAAATTACTCCTAACCCCGCGTGATGTTAAACAGAAATTGCTGGAGAAACTCAGATCTAGCAGTGTCTGTGAAGAGAAAGCAGATTTAACATTTTAAGTCCAGTGACCCCTTCCTCAAAACCAATGGTAGATAGGAAAAGATCATGTTTTTGTGGAAGATGGGGGTAGGGGCAGAAGGGCGTTGGGTGAGGTTGGTAGAGGAATGAGGAGTAAGAGGATAGGTGGAGATGGA